AAGTACTCAGTAGGGGTTTTTTAACTACAGGAAAAATCCCTGTGATTTTTTTTTTTGTTGTTGCTTAATGGATGTTTTGCATTTATTTTTCAATTTACATAGGTATTTTTTTAGAGTCATTACAATAATTTGGGACAGTGAAGAGCTTGGTTGAATTTTTGCAAAACTTGATGTTCATACTGGGAAGATTTTTTTTTTTTTCTAGCTACAGTTGATACTTGTGCTTATTAAGTGTTTCCATAGCATTGCTATCTTTAACATGGTGCACAAAGCTAAATAGCTAGTGAAATACAACTCTCCAGAACCATAGAAAGTTTCTGTTTCAGTGTGCTGGTGAAACTCAGTGCGCAGTGAAAGATACTTTCCCTCACCAGCATAAGCCTTGATAATTTTATTGAAATGCGTGCTTTTTTTTTTTTTACTTACTTATTTTTATTGCTTTAATCTTTAAGCAAAGATTGTTGACCTCCACAAGGCCCAATAACCCAAAGCATGGACCATATGGTGAACGTAGTAGAAGAACCTTGACAAACTCTCTCTCTCTGGTATTCTTTACACACAATTCCATGGAAAGCATGCATTTGTAGCATTTCATTCTTAACTGATTAAGTGTTTACATGACTGTTCTTCTCTGAAAATGAGTAACAACTACAAAAAAGCATCAGTATTCAGTTTTGCATTTCAGTATTTTAGAAAGGCTTTTTTTCAACATATTTCCAGATATTAATGCCTACCTGATTGCATCTGGGCAGGAACAACCCGAGGTTCCAGTATAGGCTGGGGACAGACCTGTTCGAGACCAGTGTAGGGGAAAGGGATCTGGGAGTCCTGGTGGACAGCAGGATGACCATGAGCCAGCACTGTGCCCTTGTGGCCAGGAAGGCCAATGGCATCCTGAGGTGCATTAGAAGGGGTGTGGTTAGTAGTTCAAGAGAGGTTCTCCTCCCCCTCTACTCTGCCCTGGTGAGGCCACATCAGTTCTGGGCCCCACAGTTCAAGAAGGACAGGGAACTGCTTGGGAGAGTCCAGTGCGGAGCTACCAAGATGATTAAGGGCGTGGAGCATCTCCCTTGTGAGGAAAGGCTGAGGGAGCTGGGTCTCTTTAGCTTGGAAAAGAGGAGACTGAGGGGAGACCTCATTAATGTTTATAAATATGTTAAGGGCGAATGTCATGAGGATTGAGCCAGGCTCTTCTCAGTGATGTTCAATGATAGGACAAGGGGCAATGGGTGTCAGCTGGAACACAGGAGGTTCCGCTTAAATTTCAGAAGGAGCTTCTTTACAGTGAGGGTGACAGAGCACTGGAACAGGCTGCCCAGGGAGATTGTGGAGTCTCCTTCTCTGGAGACATTCAAGACCTGCCTGGACGCCCTTCTATGTGATCTCATTTAGGTTCCTGCTCTGGCAGGGGGATTGGACTAGATGATCTTTCGAGGTCCCTTCCAATCCCCAACATTCTGTGATTCTGATGTAGACGCTTAAGTGGAATTTACATTGAAAAATTGAGACATGCCTGAGGACATACTGAAATGATATAATTTGTGGTTGAAATGTTCCCCAGCATGAATTTGGCCTTTTACAACTACTTGCTATTCCACCCAAAGAATTCCCCGATGTGGTTTAGGATCTGGGATGGCAGAGACGGTTTACGGTATGCACTTTGTACACAGTCACCCTGCACTGGAGGCTTGGGCAGATTCCTGGAAGAGATATGAACCATTCTGCACTGCTTGGCTTCAGTGCCTGGTAACGTTTCTAGGTGCACTTGATTTATTAGTATAGGTATAGTGTTCCATCTTCTTACATGATGTAGTAAAGGTGTTGCCTTTAGTGGAGTTGTGCAAATAAAACCAATGTTATGATTGCAAGTTCTTCAGTGCAGACTTGGAAGAGGCAATGGAATTTCCTTTGGCAAGTGTGTGAGAATAACAGAAGCTGGTGGCACTTAACTCAGTTGGCTAAATGTAGTGTACAAGTCAACAAGTCATACAGTTACTAATTCTTTTCTTTTTTTAAACGGCACTTAATTCAGTTGGCTAAATGTAGTGTACAAGTCAGCATACAGTTACTAATTCTTTTCTTTTTTTAAAAAAGTTATCCTCCTCCTCCACTTCTTCCAGATGCACAATGTGATAAGGACCCAATTTGAGATTGACATCTTGTATGTTTCTTGCTAATAAGCATACAAGAGTATTTTTCTCTGTTGAAATTAGGATTTAGAATCAATGTTGGAGATGGGAGCCAGGGGGAGAGATGAAACTTATTAATACTTTTTTTTACCCCCTCTCTAAATGGGTATTATCAATATTACTGGAATTGCAAATCCATCGGGGTTGTCTGTGAAACCCATGATAAGCTCCACTGAAATGAACACATGAAAATAGCAGCTTGCAGGAAGGTTTTTTCCAATTGGAAAGCTGCTGCTGCGGATATAACTGCTAGATAACCTGACTTCTCTTTTTCAGATAATTTTCCTATTTGACCTATTCCTTGCTAGAGCAACGCTTTCTTCAGATTTTGTTTAATCTTTTTGCCTCCCTTTCTCATCTCAGTATTACTGGGGTTTTTTTAATTAATAAATTTAGTTAATTTTTTCTAACATATATCCTTCCTAAACAGTTCTATTTTTTTTTCCAAGTAAGAATTGCTGCATAAATTAAATGCAAAAGCCTGTGTTAAACTTTTGTTCTGTGTATTATGTTTTTCAAGTGATGAAGGAAATAATCATCCTTTCTCTTAAAAGACAAATTAGCTCTCTTGTACCACATCATGAGTTTAAAACCCACAAAGCTTAGTTATTGCTGTTTACTTTGAAAACACAAAATTTCAATTTATTAAGGAGGTTATTTTAAAGATTATGTACTTTTTTCAGGAGGACCCAAATGATATCAACCCCAAAAGGAAAGACGTGCGTGGCAGTGATGTGGAGGACAAAGCACAAAGTGTGGAGACGCTACCTCCAGGTATTGCAGTAATGTTTGTTACGAAACATCGTAGCCATTAAACATTTATCCTTGAAAGCCAGAAAAGATAACAGTTATTCCGCATTCTTTGTAGTTTGGAAGTGCTGGGATTATTTTAGCAATATGTACTTCTCTATTCTTAAAGCTTCAGCTTCCTTAAATCTTACGTGCCTCACTGCTCCTTTGGGTTTAAAACCATAGAGAATGTCAGTCTTTGCTAGTACGTTTGTACTGTCCTGCAATAGGTTTGAGCGACCGTAAAAGCCCCTTGTACAAAAGCAGTCCATTTCTCTTGATGGATAGTGCTGGCAGCAACAGACAAGTCGCCTTGGGACTGTACTTCTGACTGAAGGTCCAGCCAAGTTTCATACTTTTTTAGTTTTGTCTAGCTTTTGGTGTGGCAGTTTTTCCCTGAGTGCATACCTTATTTTTCTTGTACCTGCTCAGTATTTGTCATGCTGGCAAATAAAAAGAGCAATATAAATTTTGTTTAGGTTAATGAAATGCTCTCATGCGTTGAGGATGATCTAGGAAAATTAAGGAATGTTCATTTCATATGACTGCTTTCATAAAACAACTTTTACTGCTTAACTGTTTCACATCAATGAAATTTGATATATGGCTAGAAATGACGTACCAAGGAATACAGAAATAGTAAAAATGGATTTGAATATTTTACTGCATTCAAAAAGTTTACCATACAAGGAGGACAACTTCTGATCAGATAGCTTCACAACACACTTTGCTCTTCTTTGGTTAATCCTAATGTTTGACTTAACACATTTGTCTTAGCCAAACATTTGAAATACTATGAGGTCTTGAAGTAAGAACTAACCAAGGTAAACTTCCCTTTAAGCAGCTGGAAACTTCCATGCCCAGTAATGTGTGAGGTATGGTTTCTGTTTTACAGACTTAGACTCCTGGTACAGTATAAGCTGTTTGACATTCATGGCTTTTTGTGTAGCCTTTGGCCTACCTTGTCTTAGCTGCTTTTTGGAGAGGGGAAACAAGACTCTGGTTATGTATTTATACTTTTTTGGCAAAACCTTTACTTTGTGTATGAATTGGGAAATAAATCATAAAAAGTTGAAGGGCCTGGCTTATTTAACTTGGTTTCTGGCAGATCTTTCCAAGTACTTTTTTCCTTTAACAGAACTCTCCACAAATATTTTTACTGGGATTATAGGTCAGCCAATTTTGCACCTTCCAGCTACTATTCTTATTTCCTCTTTTTGAATGTTTATGTATTCTGGGCCAAACCCTGTACATTTCTTCTAAGACCTACCTTTCTCAGTGGCTGTAAGTAGCCATTTGAGTATTAAAAGCAGTGGGAAGTGTCACAGGTTAAATGGGAGAGATATCAGAAGCTGGAAGGGTTGAAGCTACAAGTAAAGTGTAAAGTAGAGCAGGTCAGGGCTTTTTTAATTTCATCTGTTGATTAGTAATCTCTTATGGCTTGATTTAACAGGCAGGAGAATCATTACTGCAAAGTAGTATGAGAGTCTTGAGTCAAACATCAAAGGCTACACAGACAGAATTATGCACTCTTAAATCACTATTTCGATTATTTTCAATTTGTGTAGACAAACTCTTGAATCCTTATGGCAATACATATTTCTGCAGGTTCTTTGCACTGCTTTAAAGCAAAGTGATCAAATTTTAGGAGAGCTTTGGTTCAAAACTTTCATAGTTTTCCACTGAGGTTAGGAGACCTGTAGTTTATGTTTCAGCATTATGCAGCATAGTGTCTTTCAGAATTTCTTGGAATTAAGGAATTGTTTATTACCTTTATCTTTAAAATGGCTTTATATAAAGATTAAACTGCTGGGTTTTTTACCTTCTGTACAATGGAGTGCATCTATCCTTTGTCATTTGGTGACTTTTTTTATATGCTGAAAAAGTCTATTTCTTCTTTTGTGAAAATAGTGATGTTAACTCTTGTAGTTATAAAGAATGACCTTGAACTGTCTGTATGGATAACTACAGCAAAACTGTATAACTAGTTCTCTGTAATGACAGGAGTTTCAGCAGTTACTCAAACAGCTCTTTTTGTTAGTTAATGAAGATTTGGAATCACTTAATGCTTGTAAGTCAAAATAATAATACTTATATCGAGTATCCTGCGGCTTTTAAGTGGTATTGAGTCAGTAAGAGGGAGTGCTAGCTATTTAGGGGATTTTGTATCCATCTATTACTACTCTTTGTTGCCTGCCACTTGGTTGTGTGCAGATCTATCTGCTATGTGTTTTTCTCTTCGATCTCACTTTGAACC